ACAGGTACTAAATGTTCCATAATCGGTGCTACTGCACATTAGCATTGCAATAACGCCTGTTTGTGTGCTAATGTGCAAATTAATTCTACTGCACATTAGCAGTTTTTGCCAGCTGTGCTAATGCACACTAGAATTAATCTACTGCAATGTCAGTGTCTCATGTGGACATGCCCACTGTGATTTAGAGTAAATTCTAGAAACACGCGGTGTCCAGGAAGTATGGCATTTCCAGGAGAGTCTGGGTGAGACAGCTGACACCAGGAACTTCCTGGTGATCCCAGAAGGACTTACTTTGTCACATAAGGTTAAGTCCCAGACCCTTCCAAGGACAGCAAAACTGTTAGTCCTTTACTGTTCTTCATATAAGTTCCTGTTAATAAAGTGTTTTTTCCACACCATAAGCCTACTACCAGCAGCTCCCTTACTGTTTCAGACACAAGCTCCAGTGCTCAGTCAATAACTACAGCTGTGAGAGGGATAACAAAGGACTCTGCCTCTGCAGTTTGCTAAGTAAGGAATGCTTCTTTTCCAACAATGAAAACAGCTTCCCCACTTATGACACACACCCCTTTTTGGGGGGAGAGGGGGGGGCTAAATTTGGGAGAAAAAGGTGCATGTTGCACAAAAGAAAATATGGTATTCATGTGGATCATATTTATGTGAATTATCTTAATCTCAGCTAGCTACAATGACGAAGTAATTAAAATATGTGGGTTTGTGAGCTACTGCTCATCTAAGATGAACTGCAAATTATGCCTTGACAGATCACAGTGGACTAAGTCTTGGGTTTCTTATTCTAATATTATAAAAGCCTGTCTGTCTGTCTGTCCATCCATCCATCCATAACACTTTATCTGTGCTCTGATTGGCTGTCTCAGCAGGCAATCAGAGTGCCCTACACAGACAGGGACAGACAGCAGAGTGCTGCCATGACAGTGGGGGCTGGAGGTGAGGCCCCCTCCCCTGCTACTTGGAAGCAGAGGAGGATGATGGGGACCAGAGCGCCGCCATAATGGCGGGGACAGAGCAGGGGGTCTGTTCCTTGAAGGCAGAGGCTGAAGCCCCCCAACAACAGCCAGTAGGGAGGGGAGGAGGCAGAGAACAAGGGATGGAGGGGAGCAGGAAGGGGAAGGGGAGGTGGGGGGTTAGTGGTGGCTGCGCCCTGCTGGGCCCTGGCCTGAAGTGGCAGGGAGGAGGCAGGCTGCAGCCCCGGCCCGAGGCGGGGGGAAGGGATGCAGGTCTCTCTCCCTGCCCGCCCTTTCCGCCCTGTCATTCTTGACAGGCAATTTGCTAGTTATTGATAGAAGAACCATAACTACCTAGGACTGACACTTCAAAGGTCTAATTTTCAAGCTTCTGGAAAGCATTATCTGGTTCTTTTACAAAAAAATCCAAAAGATTTGCATCCTAGTGAGGACACTGAGAATAAGCAAGGGTTTTTTTATATAGCACAAACAGAGATTAGAAAAGGACAATGTATTGATCTGAACAGTGCCAGACAGTTTAAATTACCTCCTATAACAGAGGACATTTAATTACTGCATCACCAGTCTCCAGTACCAGAAGCTGAAAGAATCTCTCCACTAAGTTGAAATAACAGCAGCCAACCCACAGAGGACTGGAAAATTATAAAAATGATTGTTTCTATTCTTGCATCATGCTTCCCTTGAACTCCTTGCATTCTTCAACCTACTACCGTCTCTTCAGACCCCTTCTGTGTCTGTCAGCTGGTGCTGCAACTCAGCAAAAAGTGAGTCAGGCAGATGGATCTCTTTCTCAAGGGGACATATTTATGACAAAACAGCAAAATAAGTTAACTCAAACAGAAATGAAAACAGAACATTCTCTTATTTGTTATTCACTCAATCCATATGTGGAACCATAACCCTGAAGTAGAAAATGTATGGTTTCTTCCCTTGAGCATCTGTGTACAGGAAGAGATGAGCTGAGTTGCCATGCAGAGGGGCAGTTAGCACACCTTACCATGGCCAAGTATTTGTCAGAAAAATTAGAGCTTTTTTTTCACTATGTTATTTTGCTACTACCCTTAATTTAAAATGGTGATTATCTCCTCAGTACTACTGACCCTGTAAAGAGAGAACACGCACAACCTGTCAGACTTCCTTTGTAGACCTTGAACGTTCACAAATGTAAAACAAAATAAAACAAAACAAAAAACCCAATGGGTAATATGCATTTTTTTCTTGTTTTCAGTCCTGCTGTGCTTGTTTTCACAGTCTTACATGGAAGATGTGGCATACAGGTCCACTTTGTTCCTCTTTTACTATAGTTTCATTGAAATAATTTCCAACAAATATATTAGAATGTTTCTATCCCCATAGGTTCACTCATGCAATCACTGTACTGTCCTTGCAAGCCTTAAAGGGAAAATTTAAAAATGTTTATCACAAAGATAATGGTTACTAAAGCGAAAGAACCATGCATAGCATAATCAAGGCTAATAGAATTGAACAAGATCCTTTTTGGACAAAAGATACTGGATAGAATTTTCAAAACAGCTGACATGACTTAGAAGCCAAAGGCTTTTTTTCAGTAGACTTAAGCTTCTGTGTGTTCATTACATTTGAAAATGTTACCTATTAGCAATATCAAGAATTGAAAGGGTGGTGCAGGTTTTTTATGTGAGTGGGCCTACAACAATTTGCAGCCACTGCCATTTTGGTGTTTGTCTTCCTTTGCTCTATAAATCTCACTTCCTAGCACTGTTTGGTGTGGACATATCAATTAATTTGTTACTTCAGCAAAACGGCCAAAAGAAATTCAAAGTTCACTGGAAACAGAATTAAACAGGACTGGTTACATGAGTAGTCACCACTGGTGCTATAAAATAATTTCTCCTGAAATCATGGTCAAACCCTGCTACTCCTTGATCACATATTTTATTTTACAAATTCAACATATAAACAAGTAGTAAACGTTCCCCGCCCCCCCCCACCTTAACTAAAATTTCACCTTTTGGTTGTATCACCAATAAGTTGGTATTTAATATTTGCTCAAACTTCTAGCTAATTTAAAAGCTTTAGTATTTAAATATTGGGGTTTTTATTGTTGCTTTTTTGAAATAGTAGAATTCTTAGCTTAAACCCTAAATAAATATTCAATACTCACAACTATTAAAAAATACTGCTGCTTAAATTTCTAGTCATGTACCAGAAATAAAGGTTACAATAAAAATGTTTTCTCATTTTACCTCTACTGCTGTCAAAAATGCTTGTTGAGACTTTGAATACAGGTGCACTGGAGAAAGAAAAATTATGGCAATAGATAAGATGTCCTGGCCACTATGATATACAATAATCTCTGTACAGGGTATATACACATGACTGTGAGTCTGTTCTCAAAAATCTATATGTGCATGCACAAAGCTGATTTGTCTGAGTTTATTCTGCTACTGTAAGGAACAGTGGGAACAACCTGCTAGTAGCATTGAAAACACAGATACTGTTTTATCCTTCCAGTGCCATCATTTTCAGTAGCAACAGACTGATTTTTCACAACTCATGATCATGACAAAGCATTTCATTTGTTTATCTTATTGAATTTGTACATGTAACAAATCTAATACAAACATTGCAGATAAAATGCATATTAACTTATACAATACGTTTCACTACAAGTAATATTCATACATGAGCAAATTTCGTATTGTATTAGAGACTTTTTTTACTGAACTTGGAAAAATAGGAAATGTATTGTAGCCTAAAATAAATTATACATAATATACAATATATATATTTATACACATATATATGTATATATACACATATATTGATATAATATTTAAAATAATAATTTTTATTTAGATTTGATCGATTCTTTGAAGTGTTAGGACTACCTGCTAAATAATCTAGAAACTCAATTTGTCCATAATTAAATAATAATTCACTTCTAAAACTTAGAAAAATATACTTTACTAAATAAAGTTACTAATTAGGGACATCTCACGCAGGACTAAATTCACCCCCAGCACAGATCATCCATTCAAGGACCTTCTACTTTCTTTGATACCCACTTAAATGTCAATGCCTACCTTGTTCACAATGCATGCACTTACTCATGTGAGCTGTCCTTTTGATTCTCCCAGAACTTCTCTCATGAGTCTCCAGTGGGAACGGGGCTTGCAGTCAAGTCCCTGGTGTGGTGTCCTTGGTACTCAAGCTTCACTCATACTGATCTACTATACCTAGGGAAATATGTTAAAGTGAAATCCCCATATATTGGATAGGACTATTGGTATCAAATGGATTATATCATAGTGTACTCTTATATTTCTGTCATAGTGTTGGCTCTTATATTTCTGAATACATATCACAGAAGTAATTATAGAGCAAACCATAGTGGAAAATGAATACACTGAACATTCGTCAGACCAGCAGATGAGAACTTTGGTAAAGCTTCATTTGTTTTTCTTTTCCTCCCTTAGGAAAGAGCCTTAGATACAATTGTACCACTCTACCAGCTGCATAACCCTTATTGGAAACAGCGAATGAAAATGTATCTCATGGAAATGATATGTAAGACTGGGACCAGCCTTCTAGGAAACTTGACTCAAATGTTTACACTTAAAAAAACCCAAACTTTAATCTCTGATGACTTAACAAAGGATATGTTGATTTTTTTGTCCTGTATTTTATTTTTTCCCTCTGCTGTTTCCTAATTAGGGCTTATGCCTTCCTACTTTGTTTTATAACAATGTACAGTATAACCTTATGCCTTCCTACTTTGTTTTATAACAATAAACAGTATACCAGCCAGTGATGAGACCAAACAGAACAGTCCACCATGGTACAGTTGTTTATGTAGCAAAGTCATTTTCAAGCAGGAAAAATAAAGCTGCATTTTCCATTTTTTTAAATCACTCATTAATTAAAAAAAAAAAAAAAGGAAAGATGAAAGCAGAAAGGATGACAGCAGAGTGAATGGCACAGACACACAGCAGCACTTCGGTTGACAAATGCAGATTGTCCAAAGGTGATGAATGTGTAAGTAAGGAAGACTCCTTCTACTGTAATGCAGCTACATCTTTTGAGTTTGCATGGTGCAGGAAAACAAATTCAACTAAAAAGGAAAAAAGCAAAGACCTTCCTTTAGGTCCCTCATCAGTGTAAGCATACTCAGTATGCTAGAGAATTTATCTGAAACCTTTTAAATCAAGGCCTCTTTATTACAAAAATAAAAACAAACCACAAAAAAAAATGAGAGAAGAAAAGATGCTGAAGTATCATTCCAATTGTCCTGGAAGAGAACAGTCACATCCCATTTCATTATTCATTCTCTTCTCTCATTTCTACGATGTCTGTCATTTCCTCTGTTTGAGGCATGTCAGTCATTGCTGAGTCTTCACCTTCCGTAGCTGTCTCATTCTCATTCCGCTTCTTTTTCTAGGTTGAAAAGAGTAGTCAGTTGAAAAGAGTAGTCATAACTATGTGACCATTTATACTGTTTGCTGTGTATAAGCTCAGTCCTACCAATTTCAGGCCTTATCAGAAGAAATTTGGGCTACTGGGCAGAGGGCAGTACTTAGAGTTGACAATCTTAGGTTCCATCATTGTTTTCTTGCTGGCTTGTGACATTAACTTAGAAAATCATCTTAAACTTGGCATCAGATATGAAATAATAATTACTAGCGTGTTTTGGGGCTAGCCAATGTCTGGGGATTGCTTCAGAATAACAGGAGAGAAGGCAATATATCCAGTAAATGAAAGGTGGCATAATAAATTTTACAAGGTCAAAGGTCAGGAGGGCAGGACTCCCACATACACATCCCTTCCAAAGATAAAGTGATTCTAAAGCTTTTTTTTTGTCCAGAAGAAAGAAGGAGGGCTTTCCAGACAGTCACATGATTCATCCAGATTGTCTTTGCTAAGAAGCTCTTAGCTCCAGTACCAAACAAGATGAACCATCTGTGTCCTATTATCTGTTTCTCAGCATGCTGACCTATCCTTACAGAAAACACTTTCTAAGTGGACAAAAAACCCACTGGTTTTTATCAATTCAGCTGAACTTTGACATACAAGTGATTCAAGATTACTGGGCTGTGTATATAATACTAGTTTGTGGCTCTCACACATTTTCTCCATGTATTTAATCTTTTAGCTGAAAATAAATTGATATATGCAACTACTGTTATGCCAGTTCCTTGCTAGCTTGGGAAAAGATAGTTTCATATTCACAGCACTTGTAGCAGTACTATATCAGTCCTGCAAGTTAAGCTACAAAAAATAAAACACCTAAGAAGAAAGCTGTGGAGGCTAAAAATATGCTGGGAAAGGTGATAATTAGTCCATGCAACAATAAAGTCTAAACAAAATGTGTCGTGAAACTGCAAGCCAAGGATAACAACTGCCTGGGATCTACCATTCTATTTTTGTTGTTTATGGGATCAAGAAAAAGGTGACAAGCCAACAACTACAGAGAAAAAAGTTCTTTATTTACTTATGAATCTAGCACTGCATGGCTTGAGCTGTGAATGTCTTCCTGCTCTGATGATACACGCCAACACTATTCTTAACCTCTATCAATATAAATGTAGTTTAAAGTCTTTAAATTCTGTTTTCATAACCTCTTAATAGAAGTAAGCATGATAGAAATTTTCAGGGGTTCTTGATTTTGGCCTCTAGTGGAAATATTAATGAAACAAGCATTCTCTACCTTCTCCCCACCTAGAACTTGCTAAATAATTTCATGGTCAATACTTTGCTAATTTTATTGGAGTCTAAGGTGTAACAATGCAACAGGTGTGACACTTGGGAGAACAGCAGCAACTTCTGACTGCTGTTGTACTGGTGGCATAATCATGTGGCTGCGGGTGACAGTGCCTTCCCCGTCTCTTCCCCCCTCCCAAGAGGCTGCCCTGGTTGCCCTACCTTAGTTACGCTACTTATTCCAGTTGTGTGCAATACCCTGTAAAGAATTGGTTCTCAACCTTTTTAGATTTGAGGCACTCTGGCATAGACTTGATGTGCCCTTTGGAAAATGCGGAAAATGCCAGCACTTACTTTTCACTATTTTTTGCCTATTGAAAATCATTAAAGCAGTTTTTCTGTTGAAAGAACTCAGAAGAACACAACTATGGATTCCTATTTGAAATTTCTGATTTTATCGTGTGAATCATTTTTATAAACTAAGAGCCTTGTTACACGTTGCACTTTGAGCAGCTCAAATGTCGATCAGTATTACTATTAGCTTGAGTTTGGAGCAGTCACACCTTAAGACTAAAGACCTTCTCTGACTGTCCCCCACCTGCACAGCTGTGATTTGCCACTAGAGGGCTGGTAAGCAGGGGCCTGACTAGGAGCTATAGCTATGGGTTGCCACTACAGGGCTGGTGATCCAGGACAGGCTTCTATCCCTGCTTTAGGTGGGGGTGTGCAAGAGATGAGTTGCAGGGGGGGCAGGAACCCAGCTCCAGAAGCTGCCTAAAATTAATGTTTAACAAGGTCTTAACAGTGCTATCATGGCACCCTGGTTGAGAATCACTGCTGTAAAGGCACAACTATGGAGCTCCCTGATTGGTCTTGGCATCACAAAACATTTATACACATGCTTAACAGGATTCATGTGAGAATTCGTTAAATGAGTGATGTTGGCTAGCTAAAGTTAAGAATTTGTGCATGCTGGACTGTGGCCACTGAGATATAGAGGAGTATTCACTTGTGTAAAGTTTCTCACTTATTTAAATCTTGGCAAGTTCTACTCCATAATTTGCATATGTTTTCTTCTCAGTGGAGAAAAAAATCCTTCCACTCAATAGTTTACTCTGTATTAAAAATAAAGCCATCAGCCTGTGTCCATCTTCAGCAATGGTAGCTACATATACATTTAACAGAATTCATCAGCCCTTCCAGGCAGCACGTTTGATTTCCCTAATTTCTTCAGATGCAGGCTCTTACCTGTTTTCTATAGACATAGCAAGCTGCTATTGCAACCATGGTAGATTCTCCTACAAAACCAGCTAGAAGTGACCCAACTCCTAGGGTGGCTCCGTGGACTCTGAGGATATCATAAAAAAGAGTAAGTTTATGTTCTTTTAAAATGTATACACGTAAAGATAGAAAATTTTAGTGGCAATAAAGTATATAACTAATATATAATTTTTCATGAACAAATACTATACTAATGTAATGTAGCTGGTGTATTACAGTGGCGGGCCAAAAATCTAGGCACAGGTAGTGAGAACAATTTATATTTAATAGTCCTACTTTACTTCCTGAATAGGATTACATAATTTTTCTTTTCGGTGAAAACAGGAAAACCCATTATAGATCAGATTCTCTGCTAAGATAGGCTGAATATGGGATTTTAAGCAGTATTACAGCCCTGCTAAAGAATGATGGATATGATGGGGGGTTTTTTCAAGCCTACAGAGAACGTGACGTTCCCTCTTATATTTATTTCATGGGTTTTCATAAAAGTAACCTCACCTGAAGCCTAATATCTTTCCATTAGTACATCTGTAGAATCTTCCCCATGGGCCAGTTGGTAAATGTCTGGCTAGTGATAGATTTGTATCTATATACTTGTAAGTGACTGTTTATGAGGGACTAAAACTACCTTAACTTTTACTTTCTGCTCTCTTTAGAGAACATGTTAAGAGTGAAATAGTGCGCCTCTTTAATGAAAGCAGAGTGGGGAATAAGATAGTTACAAGTAAGATAGTCACAAGACCTACGGGGAAGAGTCATTTACCCCAAGTAAGGCAGAACAATGAGACTAGTGATGAGGACGATAATCCGCAGAACTGAGCTGGGTGCCAGTACAAATGTCTTCTTTAGTGTCATCAGCCAACCCGTCAAATGTGCTCTAACTGTCACTGTAAAGAAAGGGAGGAAACAATGATAAAAAATATGTAGGAGGAAATGCCAGTCATATCACAGAGAGAAGGAGAAAAAATGAGTGCAGGGGTGTAGGTTGTAGCCGTGTTGGTCTAAGGACATAGGCAGACAAGGTTCCTTGGGTGAATCTGATATCTTTTATTAGACCAACCCAAATAGTTGGAGAATAGTTATTAAGCAAGCTTTCGGGTTCAAAAACCCTTCGTCAGGCTAAGGAAGTTTCAGCAGTTGGTGTGTGCTCTTCCTGGATGGAATGAAAAGTAAAGAAGCCAGAGGCTGGGCTGGTATGCATACAAGACAGGGAGTCAGTGAAAATGTAGATTGAGGAGTCAATGGGTGAGAGACAGGCGGGGAGGGGGGGGTGGGAAGAGAGAGAAGGGGGATGAAAGTGGAGAGATACCTGGGGAGTCAGATGTCAGGCAGGTTATAATGTGTCATAAATCCAATGTCTATATTTAGTCCATGATTTTTAGTATCCAGGAGGTTGATGAAGTGGAGTTCATAGGCTCGTCTTTGGGAAGTGGTTTGTAAGTTTCCTTTGAGGATCAGGACTGAGAGATTGGAGAGAGAGTGGTTTTCTTGTGAGAAATGTGCCCCCACAGGTAATTGGGTATTTCTGTCTTTGATAGATTTCCGGTGTGCGTTCATTCTGGTGCGCAGTTGTTTGGTTTCTCCTACGTATTTTCCATCAGGGCATTTGGTGCAATGGATGAGGTATATTACATTTCTGGAGGTGCAGCTGTAAGATCCAGGAATGCTGATGGCTCTGTTGTGGGGTGTAGTAATAGTGGGGGTGGTGGAGATGTGTTGGCAGGTTTTGCATTTCTTGTCATGGCACGCGTGGTCTGGATCCTTTTGGTGTGTTCTGGGCTTGAGGAAGTTTGCTTCTGGTGATAAGGTTAGCGAGGTTTGGTGCTTGTTTGAAGGCTAGGATGGGTGGCTCTGGGAAGATCTTTTTAAGAATAGGGTCTCTTTCTAGTATGGGTTGCAATTGTTTGAGGATTTTCTGTACAGGTTCAAGGGAGGGGTGATATGTCATAACTAGCGGTGTGCGATCATCTATTTCACCTACTCTACTCCAAAAGAGACCAACTTAGGAAGGAAATCACCATATACTACAACAACTTAAAAGGCAGAAATCCATGCATTTTCCTTGACAATATACAATGGTGGAGGGGTGGTCCCATTTCATCAAACTGCAAGCAGTGTCCAGTAGTTTATACCAATCCTGTTTGTGGATCAGATGGTCACACATATTCTTCTCAGGTAAGAAAAAAAAAAAGAACTGAATTGTTCATTGTTCTCCAAACCTCCCCAAATATTCAGATATATAATAAAAGTATATATTTATTTTTATTTAAATAGATGCTTGATTTTTAAATGCCTGTCCCAGGCCAGTACCTACCAAATGAATCCAATGCATTGTAAGAAAAAAAGCATGCAATGGCAATAAATCTGCTGGAAGGAAAAAGTAATAGCTAGCAAAAATATATAATACTATAATATTCCCCTGTCTCAGACTCCGTCAAACATCCCACTCCCTCCCAGCTCAGCCCTTCAAGATACAGGTTTTGCATACCAAGAACATTGAAACTGAGTTTTTTAGACCTGCTCAGAGTGAACCCCTAGGCTCAGAGAGCACCTGTTCACAGTTCCCTCTGATAAACTTTCACTAGTTGGAATTGTGGCATAATTGTGTAGGACCAGAGACAGTCAAGCATTTAGATACGTCCCTGACCCTTTTAGAACAAAACCAGCATATTAAAATTCATCCACATGTGATAGGCAGCCATGGCAGAATTTGGAGCAAAGATGTTGTGGTTACATTTACAGGAAAATACTGCAAATAATAGGCAAGCTACTTTGTTCTGGACTAATTCTAAGTTTCCTAGTAGATTAAGGTGAAGCACATTGTAAGCAACCTTGAGATGACAAAGACCTCAACTGTTGTGGTGATATCTGTATTCAGAAGAAAATATTTAAACTCGGAAACCAGACATAAATAAAAGGAATTAACTAAATCCTCAAGTCATAAACCTTACTAACAAAAATGATGGACACCTCCCTTAAATTCATTTCATGCTTGTGCCTGTATAACCTTAGTCAAATTCTCTAATTGAATCTTGCAATTTAATACAGGTCTTAGTCTTTCCTGGCTCAATATTGAAAGACTTTGTTCTCATTCATTTCTAAACTTTAAAAAAGACTCTCGTCCTTACTACCCAAGCTAGAGGAAATGGTAACATAGAGCTTGCAGGAGTATTTACCACATGGAGTATTGGAGTGCCTTCCCCCCTCATCTACAGTTCTTATATACGTTGAAACAATGGGTTGGCAGCATTAAACTGAATAGTATTCCATTTCAAAAATTCTTAGCAGGAAATCATTGGCAAGCATTGTTCTGTGAGATAATACCAAGAAAAACAGATGATGCCAATTGAGGACAGTCTTGTCTGTTCTTGTCAGGTAAGAGCAGGCAAGACAATAATACCTGAAGCTTCACCATATAATATTGTCATAGACTCCTGCTGTTCATTTGACTACAGCAACATATGGTATGAGGAACATTCAGAAATGTTCTTCCCTTACACAGAGAAAAATACAATTTTATGTTTGACTATAGTCCCCCGATATCAGTATATTTGGTCCAACACAGCTGCAATTTGGCTATGCCCATATTGTAGAAGTCCTTGACCTGCATATCCAGAAACTACTACTCTGCTGCAATGACATCATTTTACTAGTGGTAAAATAAATAGAAGCCTGAAGGAGCCACACCTAGTGGACAGGCTGAATGGGGAAGCAGTTCAAAATCACATCTTGTCACTGGTGACTACAATGTGGGATGTGTGTATGTGGCAATATACTGTCCCAGAAAAGATTCAGTCTTCAACTCAGCTTTGCACGGTACTTGTTCTTCATAGCCTTTTACAGAACATAGTACTCCCTCTTGATGATGTTGCCTCTTTAGACAGAGTCAGTCACCATCAATTTCATTATCCCATAAGGAGATGTCATTTTTTACATTTCTTGGGAAGAGACAATTGCAAGGTAAAACTGCAAGATTCGGGCTAAAAATCAGTGGTGAGCTTGTGTCTCATCTTGAGTCACAGACCTGCCCATGAGCTTCTAGGTTTGCTTGAAACCATTTTAAAAGTTCCTTGTAAGCATCAAGGGTGTAGGAAAATACGTAGGAGAGACCAAACAACAACTGCACACCAGAATGAACGCACACCGGAAATCTATCAAAGACAGAAATACCCAATTACCTGTGGGGGCACATTTCTCACAAGAAAACCACTCTCTCTCCAATCTCTCAGTCCTGATCCTCAAAGGAAACTTACAAACCACTTCCCAAAGATGAGCCTATGAACTCCACTTCATCAACCTCCTGGATACTAAAAATCATGGACTAAATATAGACATTGGATTTATGACACATTATAACCTGCCTGACATCTGACTCCCCAGGTATCTCTCCACTTTCATCCCCCTTCTCTCTCTTCCCGCCCCCCCCTCCCCGCCTGTCTCTCACCCATTGACTCCTCAATCTACATTTTCACTGACTCCCTGTCTTGTATGCATACCAGCCCAGCCTCTGGCTTCTTTACTTTTTATTCCATCCAGGAAGAGCACACACCAACTGCTGAAACTTCCTTAGCCTGACGAAGGGTTTTTGAGCCCGAAAGCTTGCTTAATAACTATTCTCCAACCATTTGGGTTGGTCTAATAAAAGATATCAGATTCACCCAAGGAACCTTGTCTGCCAAAAAATGAGTGCGACTTTTATTTTAACCATATTGATGGTATTTATTCGAATTTAAGATCAAAGATATACACATGGTAGAAGCTGTTTAAAAGGGATAAAAACAAAACAAAAGAAAGTCACTAAATAGGGAAGCTGACTGGGAGTTCAATATGCTTTGGCTCTTGTAAACATACAAAAAAGAAGTCATAATCTCAGCAAGCTTCCCACAGTGGGAAACTGTCCTATCATAAATGTTTTATTATAAGATGGTTCCATTCTGTTTTAAAAGAAAAGTAAAATATAAATGTATATGACCATAAGAATAAAAATAAAGCTTCACTACATCTTTTGTGCAGCAAGTTTATTTTCCTTTTGGCATAAATGCATAACTCCTATCCATGTTTGTTAGAAAAGATACTAATTTGGGAATAGGTCTCAAAAATACCACTTTAAATTTGAAGATTACAATCCTTATGAAGCTGTGCTGTTATATATTGTGCCTACAGAAAATATTATATCATGTAGCAGTAGCTCCTGTGGGTTATAATACTTACATGATAGCATTCCAATGCTCAAGGGGAACATTTTGGCTACAACTGTAATAAACTTCCATATAATATGAAGGAGGTATCTGCATTTAATATTCTTTCCCATCGATATATTATCAGTATCTTTAAATCTTACTCAGATTTGATTAGAGGGGACTGGTTGTCTTGTTAACACTATATAATTTTTTTAGATGTTGTACAACCACACAGTTCCTTATGATCTTGGCAGAAACATGGTACATGTCCACTGTGACTAGTTTTATTACATTTGCATTCTCTATCATCTAGAAGAGATATGCTTCAGCTTTTGGTTTTTCTCTTCAAGGTAAATTAAGAAATGCAGGCATGCCAAATGTATTTTAGCCTAGTGACAGACTCTCCCCCTACTATAATACCTGTCGAGCTAAATACTATAATATCTGTTTAGCTAATTTATCAAGCTAAATTCAATTTGAGGGCAGGGTAGTGCACAAGATCTCGAACCTATATTATCTTCAGTGGAACAGGTATCTGCGTTTGGCCACTTGTATCTTTGAAACCTGCGCAGGGAGGAATGAGCAATTTGCTGCTTTGTTTTTTACCTGGAACTGGGAAGAAGGAGAAGATGCGCAAAGGAACAACACAGAGCTCTGCAAAGGCAAAGTCCACACCAATGATGTCAACCAAAATCTTCTCTGATACATCTGGTGTCCAAAACATCACGAAACAGAGCTGGGAAAGAGAACCACAAGAACAGTGTTGAAAAGAGGGGGACAGAAAAGAGATAGGAACAGGTGCTCCAAAGTGCCTGGTCTTGGCCTTGCGTACAGGTACTTCCTGTCTTGAATTGGGACTGGGGGTAGGTACAGTGCCTCTCCACAGCATTCAGGAATCTCTAGCATCCACAGATATTACAGTATGTTGTAAACAACCTTCCCCCCATCCCTGAAAGACAGTGTTGCAAAATAAATGGTAGACAGGGAGTAACCCTAACCCAAGCAGAAACTTGTTGGGGAGAAGGTTATGAAAGGCCCTCAAAATACATCTTTCCTCACCAAGAGCGCATCCAGACAACTGTGGACATGTGGTAGGTGGCGCTGCAGACCTGTCTGCAGTACCACACACTGCACATGCAGGTGTTCCTTGAGTTACTACTTTGCATTGCAGGAGGGTTTTGCCCCAGGAGATCCCAGGGTCAAAACCCACACCAGTGCATCACACCCAAAACCACAACCTGGTTAGTTGGAGCCATGCTCTGGCTGCTGGCCAGGATCCCTGCTGCAGGAGTGCCATGGCTGCAGCACCCAGAGGCTGCCAGGACCCCAGGAAAGGCTCCTGGGGCCAGCACAATTGTAAGGACTGTCTCTAACTGTGGTGGAGTGCAACATGTAAATAAATGACCTGAACTTTCAGGGGTGCTGAGTTATTTATAACTCCCATTGTCTTCAACAGAAACTGGGTATTTAACGTCTTGGAAAGCCAGGTTCCAGGTGCCTTTAACTTAACATGACAGAATGAGCAATAAGTGGAAAATGGATTCAAAACTTTCTGAACCTCTCTAAAATCAACCAAAAGGAAGTCTTGGAAAAGAAAACACCGCATAAGAAGTTTTTCTTCAGTGCATTCAGGAATTAATTTTCCTTGGCTTTGAGGATTAGAAAGGTTCATAAAACCTTTCTACAGGACAATGGGTTTCATTTAAAGAAGACTTCTAATATTTAAATGCAGTAAAATTTAAGTTTCCAAACTAAGTACAAGCCTAAAACTTTCATGGCAAGTTTGAACACAGGTATACAAATGGGTCCCAAAACACAAGATGGTCATATGAGAAGCCTCGTAGTTGGGTACCCGTAAGCAGTGCCACTGATTCTGTCACAGCAAGGCATCAGAACTCCTTACAAACCAAGGTGCTGAGCTTGTAACATTTTAATGTCTTCAGATCTTCCCATTAGGATGGCTGAGCTATTTTTAAGGAATCATTAAGCATTTAATTCTCTTGTAGATGATATCCTAGTTAGAGAGAAAATGTTCAGAAGTATACTTTAAATTGTCTCCAAGACTGAGAGAGAGATTAAACCATACTGCTGAGACCAGTACTTTCTAAACTATGAAATGTGCCCAGTTTTATTCTGTATGATGAATCAAGGTGAACATAAAGCATAGAATGCTCTTCTGTGAATGTCTCAGATCTTAGAATTTAAGCAGTTTGGCAGTGTGTGTGATGTTTGGTCACTATCTGTATGGGAAACAATAAAGAAGACCCATGGTGCTCTAAGTAGTGGTGCAGTCATTTTGGTCCATGCTACTCTTCTCTTCCAGTCCACATTCAAATCATGTGGTGTGAGAGAACTCTTGTGTAGCTGGCTTTTCCGCTTTTGGGAAAAGATGCATGTCAAAGATCTTTCCTGGAAATCCCTTACTAACAATCTCATCATGGTACTTTTCAATAAAAAGGGACAGCTACTCTCATTATTTGTGCTACAGTTCAATTCTGGAGCGTGCCCCACACTTCAAGTTGTTTTTATGTTAATGTTTCTTTTCCCCTATTCCTTGATTAATAAACAAATTAAAACATACCAAAAGCCTCAAATTTGCTAGGCGCTCTGTCAGATTTTAAGAAGAGAAAGCCAGAAACATTAAATTTTTCAAGAAATCATGTCACTAATGTCTGAAAGCTCCTTCCAGAGCCAACCCTAGGAGGTTTGTGGGGCCCGGGGCTTATCAGCCTTTGTGGGGCCTGTGCATTGGTGGTGGGGGCGGGGTTGTGGCAGGCAGCCAGAGCATGAAGTGGGGGGGTGAGCAGCTGGAGCACAAAGATGGCAGCACACAGCAGCCACACGGAGTGGTGATGCCCTCAGGGCCTGTACGGCACTGTTTGCAGGGCCCCACAAAGCACAGGGCCCAGGTTGCTCATCCCGATTCACACCCCCCAGGACAGCTCTGGTGCCTTCAATGTTTAATTGATTCTTTTAAAATCCAGGGGTAAATTTCATAAGATCTGACAGTTCTTCAGTTGTATAACCCATGCTTTCTTACATATGTTTGGGGCAAAATTTGGGGCTCATTGAAGTCAGTGGACAAATACTTTTCAACTACAGTAGGGTGAGCACCCTTGTTTTCCAGTTGTGATGTGTCATTTTTAATTAACTTGGAAACTCCCAGTCTGTAAGTCTGTGACTGAATAGTACATGGGTAAGCACCTTCAGCTATTACATAAAAGTGCCAAAAAGCCCCACTGAAGTGTCCAATCTGTGCAGACGCTGCCGAGCTGTGTTGAAGTAACATGTTGCTTCTTCTGTAAAGTGTGTTCCCCCCTAAACCCCGATGTCTGTCAGCATCCAAAAATAAATGAGAAGAAAGAAAAAAATGAGCTCGAGCAGGTATCTCCTGTCTCACTGGCAAGCTGCTTGAAAATCCTCATTATAGGAGCCAGTGAGAGTACCATAAAGGGAATAATTCTTTGCCGCACGAATCTCTGCAATGTGTCCAGAGGGATAATTTAAATGTTGGCACCTGGAGTAGCATGAGGGGGAACAACTGCCTCCTTATGCAGGGAGCAGTGGCACAGGCTGCTGCTGCCTCAGTGCAAGCTCCCCCAAGCATGGGGTGTGGTGGCAACTTAGGTTCTTTGGGGGGCTGCCTTTCTGGTGCCCTTTCTGAATTGGTACCCAGGACTAGTGCCCCAGTCACTCCCAGCCACATTACTGATTATGTGCTGTTTCAGAGAGGTTTTTCATTGAATACACTTTTCTTCAGCCCACTTTCTCTCTCCGTGCTCTAGCCAGTATGTAGGCACACACAAGCTTTAGCCTTAGAGACAACTAGTTGGTCACCAAGAAGATGCCCTCATTATTTCAGAAATGAAGAATAAACTGTATAGAACCCAGCTGGGTAATGGAAGTCAAACTGGTATCACTTATCTAAAATGTCCTTTTCAAAATGATAGTAATTTTATTGCAAGGCAAAAAAGGAAACTATGTGAAGCTTGAAATAACAGAAATTTGAAATCATTTCAAGTAATTTGGGGGGGTAAATGTTCTCTTAATCAGAAATGCTTAGGGAGAACAATTTGTCCACTTTCCTGGTTATAGAGAACAGGCATTTTAAAAGTGATTGAAATTTGGGGATGATGTATAAACTGTAATAACAGTGTAACCTTTCCATTTAAAAGCACATTCTGTTAAGCAAATTCCATTTACTTTTATGTACTGAAAAATAAAGTAGCTTAATTACCTAAAATGTGAAGAGAAATTGCTACTCTAAATGGAATAGGGATTTTTTTCTCTCATGTTTTTTTCAGTTGTTTGGAAATATGCTTTCCATGTAGCCAGAAGTAGCTGACTAATTTAATTGCAGTGACTTGGTACAAGAACTCAAACACTTGTACATCAAAGAAGAAATATTTCCATTGATTTGGCAAAAAAGAATGGAAAACCTTTATTGTCCTTAACCTGCACATCCCTTTAAGCTACTTTACCATACAGAACAATAAATACTGTTCCTGCGAGCTTGATACAAAATGTTGCACATTATGTTGAAGAGCAGCACTTGCATGTTTGAAGTACAAAGTACATGCTATTATACATCAAAGAACAATTTGTTCTCAACTACATCCTAATATGGCTTAGAGGCAGAAATCATTTCTCTTTTCTTTAGTTCCAGAATTACTTTCAGGATCCACTCCTGCTCCCACTGAAGTTAATTACTTTAATAAAGCAGATTCACAACTGTGACTCTCACCCTGAAAACACCTTTGCATATGCTTAATGTTACCATTGTGAGTTGTTCAACTGAAATCAAATTACAGTAGAAAAGTTAAATGGGATGTTCACGGCATTCAAGTTAATCATGTGCTTGAAGTATTTGCAGAATCAGGAACTGATATTGCAAAGTGCTAGAGAAGCTTGAATTCTTAATGAGTAATGTCCTATACTTGGAGATTCCTGGGTTCTTAGGAATAATAATGGTATGTTATTATTATTTATTATATCCCAGGGTGTGCCTGAAGATGTGCAGAATATGGAGGAAAATAGTTCCTCCCTTGTGGAGCTTACATGGTAAATAGACACAAGCAATCACCTCTAGATTAAAGTGCTCTGAATGGTGCTGATTAAGGGGCTTTATCTCAAGATATTGTTAAATACAAGCTATAATTATGTAGGTATGCTATATTACTTCTTATTAAGTGAATTTGCATTGGTAGATTGATTCAATGTGCAGAGACTCTCCATTGACTTGGCCAATGAGATCTGATTTTACTGACATCATAACCAAATCCACTTGAATCTTCTGGTTCTAATCTTGACAATTACATTCTGCTCTAGTGCAAGCTATTGCCAATATCACCTCCTTGTGCCCTTTTGTAACAGAGTAGATTTTCACTGCCAATATAAAAAGAGTCTCAGGAAGGAAGTCAGTGCTTTGTGACCAAGTGGACTTGCCTTCCTAAGTAGGACTGCTTATTTGTTTGGGCCCCAGGAGGAGAATGGGTCAGATTCTTCTTTTCCACAATACTTATAAACTCTATTTGTTTTCTGAAAAGTTTTAGCCTTATTCCAGTGATGGACTCAAGACATGGTTTGGTGGAGGTTTGCCCCTGGGGGAAGGGGAGGATGAGACACAGAGAGGAAACCATAGAGAGTTGATTCTAAGAGACTCTTCTAACAAAATGGATGGAGGGAAGCCTAACCATCAGTTGGTTCTACTAAGGCATAGGGTGAAGCCTAAAACCT